AAAGTACAGAAAGATTAAAGTATTTTACTTGATATAGCAATTACTGTCCGAACCCGCCTACTATAATCAAAATTTTGAAGTTAAACTATTTTCGAATTGAAAACGCTTATTTGCCGCAAATACACCATACATGCGATACATCATTGGAAAGCTAAAAATATGCTCTTTTTATTAACATCATAATCAAGTATAGTTTGTATTTAAAAAAATACAACTTCAAATAAAATAAATCAAATATTTTTAAAATTTTTCAACGGCAGTATATTCTACTTAAAAAAGTGTCTTAATAACCCTATTTCTCTAATTTCAAAAATAAACGAAATATTTTGAAATCACGAAAATTTGACTTTTTGGCTATAACTTAAAAACAAAAGAAGACAGAGGTTTGGTAGGTTTTGGTAGAGATTTGGCTTTTTTCGTATCTCTTATAGTTTCTGAGATAGCCTATAATAACACCCACTCACAGTGTGTTAATTAATTATCGTACCCGACGTCAACATTGCAAGTATGCAACCAATATCACAATATTGGTATTGCAATACGCAAATCACGTATTATAAAATAAATACTGTGATATTGGTTGCATACTTGCAATGATGACGTACTCGACGATTAATTAACACACTGTAAGTACGAAGGCTCTTACAGCCGGTGTTGATTAAACTAAAAGCAGAACTAACACTAGTACTATTACTAGAACTAACACTAGACCTAGAATTAGAAACTTGTAGCTTAACCTGAAAAGTTTTTAGTTCTAGATCTAGTGTTAGTTCTAGTTTTAGTTTAATTTATTAGATTTATTGCAAAGTAGAAAATTAGAGGAGTTTTAAATGGTATTTTTGGTTGTACTAGTAACAAACCGCGATTCTCGCATTTCCCACAGGTCGGTTTCGATCGATAAGAGCGCCGGTAACCGAAGTTATCGGCCCCCGCTATCGGATTACCGACTCCAATTACGCGAGCCGCATAAGGTGAATGAAATCCTGGTCAGATATTCGTAGTCGGCCCTTGTCGACGTACAAGAGATTCAGATGGTCGATAGGTTCGCGTAATTACCAGCGTCTATATATACATATATCGTGCGTGTTTGAGAGGGCAAACTGTGTTGTGCGTAAGTAGCTCTCCACCACACAGCTTCAACCAATTTGCCTTCACGTCCGACCTCCCTCTTACCTCTTCTCTGAATACTACTTGTTTCTGTGCTCCTTTTCATTTGGCTAATGGCTGAAGTGAGGTCGCCCGGAGGCCGGATAATTGAATCGAGGTCCATTTTTATTCCGCCGAGGCGGCTTTAATTGTTATTACCCTAATGGGATGTTGCTGCTCCCGGTATAAGGCGAAAATAAGACCTCATCTGTTAATGAACCCAACGTTTCGAAAATAAAAAAAAATTTAATTTATTTTTCTTCTTCATCTTCTTCAATGTTTATCGCCTTAATCCGTCATATCGCGAGTCCGGGGTTCCGTGGGCGAGAGGTTGGTTTTGGGGGGAACTGTGGGGAGCTCGGAATCCGGTCCTTTGCGATGGTCGGACATCGATCATCCTTGTGTAGTGGTGAGAAGAACGGGTTTTCGACTGGGTCGACCGCCGTTTTGGCTTTTTACCCGATCGTGCCGGGATAGAGACGTCTACGGACCGGAGGAGAAAACCGGAGGAGTGCGTTGACCAATGCGCTGCGCGGTCGCCTTAAATCTCGCGCGCATTCCCCATCTTCTCCCCCCGCGAGCACGAGCCACCAAGTGATTTAATATTTCCAGTCGCCAACCGGGGCCTCTTTCGTCCGTGCTTCTTCTTCTTCGAACCCGGCGAATTCCCCGGTAATTTCATCAATGAATACCGAATAAGCGGTAAAAACTGCACCGCGATTTGCCATTCCAAAAACGACCTTTCGGTCCCAATTAAAAAACCCTTCTGGCGCATTCCCCTCATTGTTCTTTTCTTCTTTCAACTTGACAAAAAAAATTTTTCAAATTTTAAAACCCTTTATATTCTTTCCCCCCTCTACATCATTTTCAAGGTCGAATCAATTCTTTTCTTTCATATACAGGGTGAGTTATTAAATCGTTTGGAAAACAAAAAAATATTTTATACAAAAGTTCTTTGACTCATCACTTTCTATTACGTAAAATTATTTTCACGATGTTAGATACACTATACAGGATGTTTATACAGCTTAGTTACTTTTGATGTTTTTTAAATTGCTTTTTCTGTGCTATTTGAATTGCTCATCAAGTGCCCTTTAATTAATGATAAGTATGTCATATATCTAACTTTAATAATTTTCCTGATATTTAGAATTTAAAGAAAAATGTGTAATAAAATGTCATTATTGTACTTAAAAAAGTGACAGAATGTAATAAATTCTGTCACTTTTTGTTGTTTTCTCTTTTTTGTTTCTTTGTCATTTGTAAATCCGTAAACTATAAACAATTACTAAACGTTGCTCAACAAGTAGGTATTAATTTGATTAATATTTAGAAGTTGTTCAGAATGCCGCCCATTTTCTACATCTTTTTAAATCTCATAAAGTACCAAGTCGCATTAAAATCGGAGCAAAATTATTTTCCATTATAAAATATTAATCAAATAATAAAAGGAAGAACAAAAAAACTGATAAAAATAGACAGAATATAATATTAAGTACAATAACGCATATTTTATTACACATTATTCTTCAAATTCTAAATATCAGGAAAACTACTAAAGTTTGATATATAACATACTTATCATTAATTAAAAGTAACTTGATGGGCAATTCAACCAGCACACAATATACAGGATGTTCCATTTAAAAAACTTATGAAAAAGCCATTTGAAAAAACATCAAAAGTAACTAAGCTTTATGAACACGCTGTATAATAATATCTTTGGATACTATCATTTATATACTGGCTTTGACTATTATCTGACATAGTATCAAGGCAAAATTGGAAAAAATGTCGTTTTTACATCGTTTTTAAAAAGATGCCACAATTTGGAAAAACAATTGAATATCTCAGGAACTATGAATGCTATAAGTTAGTAACAGATATGGTTGTATAAACAAATTTAATGCTATTCATAATATGATAAAATATATAGGTGTTCCATTTTACAAAATCTACATACTCTCCGTTACGCCTAAATGGAACACCCTGTATAAGTAAAAATAATTTTACGTAATCAAAAATGGTGAGTCAAACAACTTTTGTATAAAACATTTTTTTCTTTCTCAAACGGTTTAGCAACTATCGTCCGTCGGGCTACTAATAACTCACCCTGTATATACAGGGTGTGTCAAATGTCTGGAATATTGTCAATAATTTCGCCATGTATGATTTTAAAGAAATATGTTCCAAATAAAAAATTCTTTATTAATTGTGACGCATTTTTTGGCGATATCTGCTTGTTTACATTGTTTTTTGTTTCGTTGCTATGGCAACCAATATTATTATTTTAAATGGGATGTATATGTTTTTTTTACATATTTTGATAGAGGATAAATCCCTCTACGCGATGAACATATCAAATCATACGGTTGTGTAAGAAAAAAATCGAGAAAAAATGCGTTCTCTAAAAACATGTGCATCCCATTTAAAATAACAATATTGGTTGCCATAGCAACGAAACAAAAAACAATGTAAACAAGTAAATATCGCCAAAAAATGCGTCACGATTAATAAAGAAACTTGTATTTGAAAGATTTTTCTTTAATGGCGATTTTGACATATATATACAGGGTGTATCTAAATTGATGCGAAAGATTTTAATGCGGGCTGATTTTTCAGCGAAAATTAAGTTACAGCCCTCTAAAATTAGGGGAAAAGAATAGTTTTTCTTTAATAAATCCACTATGGAGGAATTTGGAAGGATGAAATTTGGCAGATAACTATTATTAATAAGGTGACACCTTTTGACGATTTTTGTAATCATAAAATGGTATTACAAGGGGCTGAAAAAATCAACCCCTATAATACTTTGCACAGAGCTTTTTAATGCGTCTACGTTTTTCTATTTAAAAACTTGATTAGAGATAAATAGATGGATTCAATACGCAAGTTTTTTGTCTCTTGGCATTTTCTCCTAAAATTGTTAGTTTGATCACAAAAAAAATAAAATCATACACAGGCTCAAGTGAATTAATTTAGAGATTAGTTAAAGAATTGATTTTACCATAATTTTATTTTTTGTGATCAAACTAACAATTTGTTAGTTGTAAAATGTCAACAAAAAGTTTTGGAAAGGGTTTTGAACAAAAAGTTATATGAAAGACCCCCCTTAATTAATCTTTCGCATCAATTTAGATACACCCTGTATATATATAGTTGATTCCTCTTAATTGGGACACCGATTAATGATATATCCGCTTATTTGGGACGATTAAGTAGAATATAAATAAATTTTTATATATAAATGTATTTAGTAATACAATTTAATTTGAAAATCTCCCAATTTCGATATATTGTTCTTAAGCATTGGATGTAGGTGTTTGGTGGCGGTGGTAGAAGCAACGGCTTCAAGTTCCTAACCGCGAAATCCCCTTTGTTTAGAGTGCCCGGGGTCCTCCCCGCAATCTAATGAGGTAGTAATGTGTCAGGCGTTTATATTGCGCCATACATTGCGGCCCCCGGGCCGGATTGCGCTAATCTGATAGAATTACACACGCCGTAACTCGACGGCGGCGACCCGTAAGCCCCCCGAAAATCCCGCCCCCATTGTCTCTTCGCGAACGTGCACTATTTTCCCCCGACGTTAATCTCTGGCGTTTTTTCCACCGCGGGATTTTGTCCGTTTAGAAAAATTTTTTGGTGTTTGTTTATTTTTTAGTTTTGGTTTTATAAATTTTTTTCCCCACTGCCGAGGAATTAGGTTTATAAAAATTTATTAAAGTAGAAGTAAATGGTTTGAAGAAATTTGTAGAAACTTTGTAGAAATTTTAAATGTATTATTTGGGGTGCTGCGTGCTGCGTGAAAAAATTTTTAAAATTTGGTTCGCTTTGAGATAGTTTTTTGTTCGCAGGAGGCGTGTACGGAGGTAAGAAGATGTCAGGGCCGGGGGTTCGGTCTGGTTTCCGGGGCTCGGGGGGAACAGAGGGGGCGGCACGCAGCCACAGAACATATAGAAAATACTCTTCTTGGGCCGCAGAGGACGACTCCACGCCTTTCGTCCTTTGACCGCACGTTCATAAATCACGACTTTTTCTTTTACTTCGTCTCCGGTAATTCGAGGTGGCCATATATCACCCGACTCCGGGAACGTCTTCAAATTCTAATGCGCGTAAACACAACGAGATTCTTCGAAAGAATAGCGCGATATATCATTTCATTTCTTTTTAATCTAAATTTTAAATTTCTTAACATGAAATTTAATGTTATATGATTTAGATAATGTTTGTTGTGCTCGAGTTGATGCTTAAGTCGTAGAGAAGCCATTTTTGCACATAATTAGGTCCTCGCGTCCAATGTAAATGCATCCCAACCTGTTATTGGCTCCAAACGGTTGCCGCCTTAATTTGAATTTTGCACGCTTATTTCCACCAATAACACGTTTGGAAAACTTCAACGATATAAATGCATCCGACTTTTAACAGCTTCAACAAGGTATTCATCACCTCTTCCTGTTATCATTCCGTTAAATCCTTATTAGAATAAAATCTCACTTTTGATATCCATTCGGGAAGTCGCTTTCTGAGTTATTGCTATACCTGGCGGGGGTCGGTTCTTATACGTTGAGGAATATTCGACCCTAATGTATGCTAACTGCGCAACTTTGGGACCATCCGGCTCCCGTTCTTGCAGTTTTAGATATAGGGGGGGGAAACATATCTCCTTTTCCTACTTCGCCGTTGCGTCTCGTCTCCTAGTTGGGAAAGTCGTTCGGTCCATCTGACTCCTACGGAAGGGCTTAAGGACCCCAAAAAGAAACGACGAAAATACAATATTTATTCCGGACTTCACGCAAATACCGCAGTAAATCACCCCCACCACGCGGATTCTTGTAGTTGTGGTGGGGTGTTTTGATCAATATCTTTTATTATAGCCTAAAAAAATTTTCTCCTTGTTTTAAATTTTAATCATTTGATGTTGTTGTATATCATTAAGAGGATATAACGTTTAGTTGTTGCGTAACCGAGGTTTTCCACATGTGATGGATGACCGTGGCGAGTCTCGGAGCATCCTGGGAACAAGAGATCGCTGCGCTGATAGTTGTTCCTATCGCGATTCTGAGTCTTATACCCGCTTTTTGCATCGCGCACGCGGGAAAAAGCAGGGCTACGACATCATCAGACGAAGACCCCGTATAAACCTTGGTATCAGCGTATTGAATCGCCTCGCTTCTTCTTTGCTCTTTACTTTTCATCTTCTTTACTCTTCTTCTTTCTTCATCTCTTAGCCACCGAACGACGACGACGTCGAGTTAACAAGCGCGGAAGAAAACGGAGAAGTTGCCAGATCCAGGCGTTTAATGGAGACGTTATCTTTAGCGACGTGTTAGTCGATTTGGAATCGGTCGGTTTTCCCGTAGAATCCCCAGAGAGAGTTGATTAAGTAACTTTTTTGCTTGGAAAGGTTAATTATTAAGAAATTAATTATTCCAATAAATCTTAAAAGAATAATTTCACACACTTGAGTTAATTGGAAATAATTATAGGTTTAATTAATTATTAACATTAATTAAAATTAATTTAATAAGGAAAGAAGTTTTTTTTTGAAAAGTACCTACTTCACGAGGAGTGGCTTCGTTCTGGTAGCTTATAGGACGTGCGCAAGACATGCGCATTTCGGTTTTTGCTCGAAGCGGAGATAATTTATGAAAGAATCGCGCACATCGACTAATACGCATTCGCAATAACAATAATAAATATAAAATAGTAAATGACGAAAAAAGAAATGTAACGTCGGCGTAAATCATATAAAAATCTAAGACAAAGGCGACGTCCGCGAGAACGATTTACGATACAGGTTGAGAGGTCCGGGCGTTTTATTGTTGCCGATGTTAACAGGTAATTTATGTGTAGATGCCATTAAAAAGTAGGAGCGCGAGGCCCCGGCAGTCGCCTAGATGTCGGTATTAATAATGCATTAAATGCGCTCGCTTTGCAGGCCACTTAAATTAATTAACGATAAAATATAACGAGGTCCAAGCGGCGGCCGTACGACACGCCGCGGGAAAAAACGACCAGCGAAACGGACACGACTCAACAAAATAAAAAAATACAGCGAAAAATGCGTCGGTGCCGGTGGAAAAACGCACTCTTTATTTAATTAACTTAATGAGATCGAAAACTTATGTAATTTTACTTCACTCGTTTATAATCCACTATCATAAATTTCATTTCAATATTTTTTCTATACAGGGTGTCCCAGCATAGATGTTACAAATGACCAAAAATTTTTGAATTTTATTTTAAGAATGTGAAATTAAGCTCTGCTTGATGTGGAGAGAATTAAGTATATTTTCATATGTTGAAAACAGTGTCGGCCTTGACAGTGACTTTTTGTTCATGATACGGCAAAATTGCATTAAGAAAAGTTGTTAACACCACCACATTTTAGATTATATCAGAGTGAAAAAAAATAACAATGAAAAATGCCATAAAAAATATATTATCCCTCAGTTTTAGTTCACATTTCAATTACTCTTGCATTATGTTAACATTAAAACAGAAAATTTACGTCGTGCCGTGTTAAGGGCTGCACTAAGAGCAATGGTACAGCGAGAGATTTCCTAATACCAATCTTACACGTATGACTGTTATGCGAATAGTTAAGAAATTTCTTACTTCGGGAAGCGTTGTTAACGTTAAGGAAGAGAAAAAAATATAACAACAATAAAAAATTAGGTTTAGAGAATTTAGGCATTGTATAGAAAAGTATGCAACAAAAGATGGATGTTATGTTGAATAAACGACAGTTTTGTTTACGTTAGATTTTTTATAAATAAAATAAAATTATACAATATTTTTTTATGCTATTTAAACTAAAATGTGATAGTTCAACCAAAGTAGGTAGATCCTTCTAAAATTTTGTATAGGACCATAATTTCTCATTTTGAACAACTTTTTTTAATAAAATTTTTCCGTATAATGAACAAAAAGGTTACTTTACCTGAACTAAAAACAGTTTTTGATTCACTTTCAAGGCCAACTCTGTTTTCAAAATATGGAAATATTCTTAAAATTCTCTTTACACCAAGCAGGGCTTAATTCCTCAGCCTTAAAATAAAATTTAAAAAATTTTAAGTCATTATACTCTTGTTACATCTATTTTGGGACATACTGTATATAATATATATGTATAAAATCTATATTAAGAAAAAAGAACATCAAATTTTGAATACTCTGTATTATATCAGAGATGAAAAAATAATTTTCGGAATTATCCTATAAAAATATCAACAATAAGGAGATAAAAGAATCTTCTTTAATATACAGTATTTCCCAAAAGTAACGCACCATGACAACCGATTGTTTCAGATATAATAAATCAATTATATATATATATGTTATGACTAAAGGTCGAATTCCAGCTAAACCTAAGTTTAACCGGTTAAAGTTGGGAATTACCCGGGTCTTACGGTTAAAGTGCGAAGAGTTTTCAGCGCTTCGAACTTTATCCGGCTAAACCTAGGTGTAACCAATGGCAGTCGATTAAAGAGCGAAGTTACTTTAAGTAAGCTTGTAGAACAATAAATTTTTAGGTAATAAATAAATGAAATCCATAATTAAGAACATTAATTTATTATTTATTTAAAAATAACCATTAACCATGTTTTTTTATTTGTTATTGCAAGATAAACTGGAATGACTTAGAGTTGCATAAAACATTTGCAGCTTTGCAAAGGCATTTTTTTGTTCCGCATTTTGTTTTACAATGGCATTTCTTAAATCCTTGACCATCAGAGGTTGACTGTAAATTTGCAAGTTGTCGTAAGGACTTTTTGTCAGCTGAAACATTTTCAATATTTACAAATTTTGATTCACATACGGTAAATTGATTCCTTGAAAACATTTCAGAAATGGTCCCTTTCTAAGTGATCTCTAGCTGATCTCTAAGCTGATCTCTCTTGTAAGTACAAGATAGGGCCGAGACAAGCGGCAGCGAATGTGTTAACCAACTGCCATTGGTTACAACTAGGGTAATTCTCAACATTAACCGGTTAAACTTAGGTTTACCCGGAATTCGAGCTCTAGCCGTAACATATATATCAAAAAAATTACAAGTTTATGTCATAACTCAAAAATTATTGCTTAAATAAAAAAAATCAGTTAGACTGTTTTATGAAACATGTAATACTCTACAAATTTTTCCTTTACACATTTTTCCTTAAATCAATAATAGCGGAGCTATACGTATCTAACGATATAACAAAAAAAAGCGGTTTTTTCAAGATATTTAGTTAGCCATGCAATTCGCGTTTTTATACTTTTTTTTAACAAAAATAAAGTAAATTTTGGCAATGTAGGGAAATAGGTATGTAGCAGTTGGTAACACCGGAACACTTGAGAGAGAAACTGTCAAAACACAAAATATATTCATCTGAAAAAATGTTTGATGTACACCTCCCAAAATAAGAGAAATTGCTCAGAGTCAATGTCCTCAACATTGTGGACTTTGTATTCGATGCTAAGAACGTGTATAGACAAAAATTGTCACATTGACAACTAGAAAAATTAATGACCCAATGTCACCAACTTGAACTTGTTGCATAAAATGTTACTAAAATCTCATTACAGCATCGGATGCTGTAAGGAGTCTCATTACAGCATCGGATGCTGTAAGGAGTCTCATTACAGCACCCGTTTAAGTAGTGTTAGAGCTTTCATTACCGTCACGAATTACAAAAAAGTATCTAATCTACTCTATATTCATTTGTTTTTAGGTTTTAGCCAAAAAGGCAAATTTTAGTAATTTCAAAAAATGCTCATATTTCGTTTATTTTTGAAATTAAAGAAATTCGACGTTTTTTAGACACTTTTTTAAGTAGAATATACTGTCGTTGAAAAATTTTAAAGCTAGATAAGATTTNCAAAT